GTTTTTCCCTAACACATCACTTGCTGCTTACTTGAGGGAAAATGGTAAACTGGTCAGATCAGAAACCTAATCCAGTCTGGCAGTTCCTGTTGCATTTCTAAATATTGGCTCTTCGGTTCTTATTTTTATAGATGTTTGTTTGTGTGTTCACAAAAACCTCAAGCAAATGATGAAACACCCCAAACTTGTGTTAGAGTTACTGAGGGCCTCTGAGGACCTGCTGTCCTTCATGGAGGTCTCTGTGGAGGCTGCAGCGTAGTAGAAGACCTCAGGACCCCTGAGTTTGTCTTAAGGGTTTCTCCTTTTGTGCTGAGAACAACAGTGAGGAATCAGGAGCCTTGTCTTGAGAAGTCAGTCCTTCCATCACAGAAATGTCTCATTTTTATGTATGAACAGTTTGAGTGTAGGATAAAAAAATTGAAGCAATGTTATGTAAAAGAATGCAGCATGTTCATGGGAGCATTTGTATCATATGGGAGAGGGATAATACATGACAAAGTGAAACCCAAATCCTCATCTGGAAAAACTCATGGTTGTGGCAGTTGCTCCATATTTTACTGCACAGATGGGCTGGTTGTGGTGGCATCTTCAAGATCCCACCCATTGTTTCAAGGTCTCTGTGCCCCTGCCTTCTGGTACCTATGTACAGTAGTCTTGGCTTGTTCGGATATCCTTATCAGATATTTTTATTCCCCTATAATGCCCATAATATTTTTGATTCTTCTTTTTTTAATCACAACTGAAGTACTTACTGTGCTTTGTGTGTGTAAGAAAGAGATCTGTTTTCATGGATTAAGAGCAGCACAAGTGAGAGACATTTCTTTGGGTCACTTTAGTTGGCTGAAAGCTCTAGGCAGTAGTAGATGTGAATTCAGAGGTGTAGGTAGGTGAACTTAAGGATCTGTTTGATGGCACTGTGAGATACGGAAAGAACAACACAGCATAACAGGAATTTCAAAACCACATAGAGCAGGTTAAGAGTTATAAAGTTTAAGAGTTCAGAAAGTAGAAAGCAGAGGAGGAACTTCTATTTCAGTTGCTGGGAAGGAGGTCAGGGTACCTTTTGAAGGTATATACAGTAACTGAGAAGAAGCAGACAGCACTGGAAACTGTAAAACGTCGTGGTCACTGTTGAGTGAAGCTTGACAAGGATTTAATAAGAGGGGGATGCCTGGGAGGGTTGCCACAGGAGCTGCAATTACAATTAGATTAAACGAAGACAGAGTTGAACAAATGGCTCTTCTGGTGAATTGGGCTGTTAATCCAAGACTGGAGATCAGACAGACTGTTAGGACAAGGAGGGGATTTCATCAGGGAACTTGAAAATACTAATTTGGAGACTGAGAGAGTGATACTGTTATCGAGATCTTCTCCTCCTGTTCCTCAGTGTTGCAGGGCAAAGTGGCTGGAGAAATAGACCAAGCACATGAACTTGGATTCAAATGTCCAAGTGAAATGATTCTCCAGTTTTTGACCATCTCACGTGGCCTAGGACTGTAGATCCCCTGGGATGAAACTCTTTGGCTTGCACTTTTAAATAAAACAAAACTGCAGCATGCCTGACTGGTTCTGAAACCAGTTTTCTGGGTTATTTCCGGTCATTAGCTACAGAAAGTGTCCTACCTAAAATGTCTTTTCTCGTGTGCATTATTTGGGTGTGCAGTGGGAAGCATTTTGCACAGGGATTGCCCCAGGTGTCATGTTGGGTTCCACTGTCCCACAACAGCTTTTTGATGCAGTTCTGAGAAGAAAGTTAAGTCTCAATGGAAAAACATGATGACTTTTTTTGTGTTTAGTATCATAAAACTCCTCAAAACCCCAGTGCTACTAATAGCATATCTCTTGTTTTTGAGTGTGGCGTTGGGACACACCACTGACATTGTGCCTGGGTTGGAAGATCTACAACAAGCTGCACTTGTTGACTGTCAGGTCTGGATTACTTCATGTGCACCTAGCCTCTGGTTGGTTTCAGCTAATTTTGAATTAAGACTTGAAACACAAGGAAGCTTCCGGGAACAGGAAGGAGGCAGATATTTTGCTGTTGGGCTTTAAAAATGTTAACAAGATGACTAGGAGAGCTATAATTTCTTAGCTTTACTTCCATTTCCCTCTCTTCCATAAAGTAGTCTTATCAGTAAAACAAATTGGTAGGTCATTAACTAATTTGTCGTATCAAGGAAATCATGAAGAACTTTTTTTTGTTTGTTTTGTTTGGTCGTGTCCCGTCCCCCCCTCCCCCCCCATATCATTTGGATATTTGTAGTAAAATTTCAGGTTTGGTTCACAAAGCCAGCAGTGTTGATGTAGTGCATTCCTGTCTGTGACTTCCTTGTTACTACACAATCCTTTCTTAAAATAGTAGAACGATGCGAATTGTAGCCACCCATCGGAAATCAGTTGAGCATTTCTTTAATGTCTCAAAATAATTTGAGGAATCCTTATGTGACAGTTCTCATATCTAGTCTAGGTGTGTACCACAGAGAACCAGTTTTTAGCCCTCACCTCCTTACATTTTTAATGATGTGCAAGATAACAGTAATTCATTATTGATCAAGTCTTCAGCTGACAGAAAGGTGTGTAAGAGAAAAGTTTAAAAAACAAGAGTTACAGCAGAGAGATGTATGTACTTGTGTAAAGCTGGTGCAATCTGAAATGAAGGAACAAAAGCCATCAGTCACGTTTGTGGCAGGTGATGTCTTTTGGAAAGCAGTTTGGGTCATTTGCTACATGCCTGCAATACAACTGTCTACACTGAAGATCTAATACAGTTCCTGTATCTGTGAGCATCCAAACAAAGACAGTGAGTGTCAGGAAATACTCAGCATTTTTGCCTTTTATTCTGGCATGATAGGAGTTAAGTAGTGTGTGTGGTCCTGGTGTCATCAACTCAAGAATGTGTTCGGTTGGGAGATTATACTGTAGAAACAGAAAACCAGTCTTAGGGCAAATGGCTCAGATAACTTAATGTGTTTAGTTCATAAATACCAGCTCAGTGGAGAGATTTGTATTCCAGCAAAGTTTGATGGTTGAAACCCAAAATAGTCCATGTCCAAGCTACAGATTGTGTGCAAGAACTTAATGGTAATATTAGATAGCAGCAGGACGCAGTTTGGTGAAGCTGTATGGCCTATCGAGTGTGAGAGCTGAGAGCTAGTAATTGCAGTGATCTCCTCTGGCCTCAACCTTTTAAGTCCCTGCCAAGCAGTTTGCGTACCAAAGACCTTTGGCAGACTACATCCATTCCTTCAGGTGTCAGCATAACAGTAGCAGTGGCAGTTATTGCTTATATGGAAAAACAATATCTGTAAGGAAATACAATCTTTGTAGTTTAGAAATGAAGCTGATCTTCTGGAAACTGTGCAATCATCTGAACAGTTTAGCTGCTTGTGGATAGAAGTGTGGATAGTGGAGGTTTTCTGGGTTCACCAAGGTAGAGTGTGCTTGGTCCCCTACAGTAACATCCGTGTTTCATAATGGTATCATCAGGTGGAGCAGGACCAGAGAGGTCCTAATCCTTTGTCCATGCTTGGGTGCATGCTACTTCTGAATGTTGGAGAATGCTGATGATTTTGCCATGGTCTAAAAACATCTCTAGTAGGAAGGTACTTTAGCAGGAAGTGGTGAAGGTTTCCTTTGTAGTTAGCAGATAACTGTTCTTGTGTTCAGTGATTTGGTCTGTTGCTTCAAATGTTTGGGTTTTTTATACAGTTTTTTCAGATTTTCTTTGACTTCAGTTGAGTCATAGTTGTGTCTTTGGCATGCATTTTGACATCCATCTCTTGCCTGAGCACTACAGGACTTTGAAAGGCCAATTATTGTTGGTGTTGGTTTGTTTTTTCCTGGCTGGAAAGCCTTTCCTGATTTGTAAGCTTGACTAAGTGTTGACAAGACTGAGGGGTTAATCTTTCAAGTTCTTGCTTTACCTGTTGTTAAATGAAGATGACTTCTTGTCCATACGCAAGAGAAGAGTGGTTTGTTCTGTAGCAGCTTCCTTTACTTCAGTCCGAAGGGTCAAATTTGGTTTGCATCCTTGTTTTAACTGCCCAGAATCAATTCCACCTAACCCAGTTTTCCCTTGGTTTTCTATAATCTACCTCTTAACTGGATTTCATACATTCGTAAGAATCTGCATGTTTGTCAGGGTCAGAATGAGATAGTTTGGTTTAGACTCCTGTAACTCCTAGATCATCAGCAAAAGGGGAATGCCACAGTGCCTAACTAGATTGAGTTGTGTGTCAAAAATAATATGGTTTAGCTCTGGTGATGATGCCCAAGTGATTTAGAGCTCATTTTACTAGAGTTAGAAGTGTTAATGAAATCCCATCTTTCAACTTTCTGAACCTGAGGTTCCTGTAACATTTTCCTCCAGAACTGAATTCTCAGTGTGAAGGTGATAGCATACCCTCTCAAGGCTTCATTGGAGCTCCCTACCCCTTCTAGAGGGTCATGGGGACCACTCGCCTCTGTCAGGGTCTGCTGGAAGGAGTTTGTTTTCAGAGTTAAGCTGTTCTCAGGGAACTGTGAGTCTTCTATGCTGCATCTGCAGTGATTCTCACTGACCCTCCACCTACCTGTTCCACTTTCAGAGCACACTGAGGTTTAGCACCATGAGATGGGTGGTTGAGCTCTGCATGCTCCATGCTCTAACAGTCCATGTTGCAGCATGGTGCTTTTGTACCATCTCAGCGAGCACAGATGACAGTAACTTCTCAGTTTCAACATCCCTTAAAAATGGTGTTTGAGAGGTGTGAACTCTTGATTTGCCTGACAAGTAGCTGGGAGTTTTTAAAAACTCAAACTGCCAGTAACACTTCACAACTCCAACTGGGTCACTGTGGTGCTAATACCAAAATCAGACAATCTTTACCCAGGTTGCTCTCACCTAATTGCATTGTGCCATATGTGTAATACACACAACATATCTTTTTACAGTTTGTAAACATCTGAAGTGTCTTTGCAGTGCGATTAAATATGTTGTAACTCTCTCATTTCAGGCTAGAAATCTTCATACAGGAGAACTGGCTGCTGTAAAAATAATCAAGTTAGAACCTGGTAAGTTTTGCATTCTTTCCTGTATTTTTGAATTGCATTTTAATTTTTTCCATATGTTTATTTTCACACGCCTGTGAAGCTCCAGACAAAAGAAGTGTTTGGGTTTTTCTGTAGTTTCAGTGGTTAGATGACAGGAAGCACTGCAGGATGTACCATTACTTTTGGCTATGTCCTGCTCCCCATTTCCTTGTTTGTTCTTATCTGACTTATTGATTGTTGCGTAAAAAGATGTTGCAGTTGCAGTGAGCTGTTAGTACAAAGAGAAGATTAAGGACAGATGGTAAATTGTGAGCTCTGAAGCAGTAGGCAGCTGTGTGACTTGAAAGGCGGAAGGGACCAGCTAATGATGCTACTGCCCACCAAAGATGCACTGGGAAGAACAGAGCCCTGCGCTTTGCAATGTGCTGTCTTTTCTATAACCTGTGCTGAGGGAGGAGAATGACTCATGCTGTCATTTCCCCATGCATTTTCTGCCACTTCTAAAAGCAGGAGATGCTCGCTTGCTGCTCAAGAGATTTGCTGAGCTCAAGCCTGATCCGAGTCCATGCCCCATCCCTGAAAGTGTTTAAGGCCAAGCTGAACAAGGCTTTAAGCATCCTGGTCTAGTGGGAGGTGTCCCTTCTCATGGCAGGGGAGTTGGAACTGGATGTTCTTTAAAGTCCCTTCCAACCCAAACAATTCTATGGTTCTGTAGACAGTTGAAACCAGAAACCGTCCTCAGTGAAGATGAGGAGAGGACCTTTTTATCTCCTCAGTCATAACTCGGTCCCACCTAAGGATTTTGTATTTGTTCAAAGAAATAATCTCTCATTACTTGGTCACTGGCATACCTTTCAAATCCCTTCTTAGTGTAGTCCTCTTCTGTGTCTCTTTGCCATGTTAGTGTCCCTGTGGTTGTGGTTTGCCTGAACTGCTGTGCTGTGTCTGTTCAGGGTCCTGTCTCCCAGGCATAGGCTCCTCCTGTGAATGCTTGCCCTTGAATGAGTGTTTGTGGACTGACACCTGAAGCCTATGAAGCAATTAAGAGACAATAAGAAAGCAGTAGGATTTATGGAGACACAAAGAGATAGTTTCCATGACTGGAGTGCTGCAGGGAATAAATACAGATTATTTAAGCAGGAAAAATGGAGGCGAATCTGTGAAGACATGTGATGTAGGAGAGGCTGGCAAGAATGAGTGGGTTTTAGCCTGGGGATATGAAGGCTGAGGAGGGATCTAACCACTGTCCTCCACAGTGGACTGGCAGAGGAGCTGCAGCCAGACTCTCATCAGGAGTGCCCAGCAAAGGGATGAGAGTTGGCCAGTACAGTCTGCACTGAGGGAGAGTCTGGCTGGATGTGGGGAAAATTCTTCACAAGGAGAGTGTTTGCACTCCAGGGCAGCACCCAGCGAGGTGGTGGCATCTCCATCCTTGAAGATTTTCTGTAGTTGCCTGGGCAAGGCCTTGAGCAAAGTGACCTGACTCTGTGGTTAGTCTTGCTTGGAGCAGAAAGCTGGACCAGAGACCTCTGGAGGTCCCTGCCAATCTGCCTGCTGTGCTGACCAGCACTGAAATGTCTCCACTCCCTAAATGCCAGCATCTATTCATGTGTTAAAAGACTACCGTTTCAATAGGCAGCTCACTGTCAGTACACTGCTAGCAGGTGAAGTTGATGTGCCATCTTCCTCTTTCTGGCTTAGGAAAATATGTTGTCTCATTTGCTTGCCATTGCTTGGTTCTGTTCAGTCACTCAGGTAGAGAGGCATCATGGGTTTGCTAATAACTGTAGGTCTTTGATAAGCAGAAAGGCTGCCCTTTCTCCTCTCAGTCTCTCCAAATGTGTATCCCTGAGGAGTTGAGCCATGAGAGATGGCTTTGCCCATCCTACTGGTGTATTTTGTAGTTACTCCAGCTTTCTGTTAAATGCAAGCTAGCAGAACTTTTCAAATTCTAAAGGGCTTACCTAAAATGTCTGACCATCTCCTCTCCCACTGAGGACTCTACAACCAGTGAGTGGTATATATATAGTGAATGGAGAGTCAGTTTCAGAAATGAGGTAATTTACAATTTTTATGAATAAAGATTCAGAGAAGACTGCTTTTATATAGCAGTAAGTGTGTTTATTTTTCATAAAAGTTTAGTGACTTTTAGGCCAGTTAAATTTTTCTGACATGTCTGTTACCCTTGAATAATTTTCAGACCTTGACAGGAGGGTCAGTGCTTAATGCCATATGCCTCACTCCATATTTTTTGGTCGTGAAATCCCAGATGAAAACTTTGAGGGAAGAGTGGTAATGTCTTTACAGTTGGGGGGTTTTGTCTTCCAAAAGATCCTTCAGGTTTGTTAAGACTCTCGATGGAATCTCTCAGTTATATTTTGTTTGCCATTTCAGCCATTTTGAAATGGTGAAGCAACTGTGCATGAATTTGGCTTAACTCACCAAAGCAGGTTTTTTCCAAAAGGGCTGGGAATATTTCTAAAATGGAGTGCTTTGGTGGCTTCATCCTATCTCTTGTTTTCTTCGGTTCAAGCTAGATTATCATGGAGACTGGAGTGCTGGGAGAAGGAGGTAGTGGGAGTCCCCATCTGTCATGTGGTTAGACAATATAGGGGAAGAGGAGTTCAGTTTGTCTTGCCATGAAGACCAGCAGTTGCATCTCCCTCCTTATGGGGTGTTGGTTTTCCTGTTGATCTCTAAGGGATTCCAAGGGGGTTTTCTGCCAAAACTTCTCATGTACTTTTTGCTTTTAGTATAAATTAAACATGAATGGATTTAGACAGCACATGAGATTAACTCTGTGGCCTGGTATTCAGCGTGATGGCCAATTGCTTTTTTAAAGTGATCACAGAAAAATTAATTTGGAGTGTCCCACATCCAAGAAAAGCATGTTATCCTCTGCACGGCTTGATGTGAGTTTTCCCGTGAGCCTAAATGTTAATTTCCAAGTGCTTTTTTAGATATTTTTTATTTTATATTTAACAGTTAAAAGTTTCTGTAATATGTTTGGGTTTTTTTTGGGGGGGGGTGTCAGTTGGAGAAATTTGAAGAGTTTTATAAATAAATGAAAAGAAAGGGTCAGCTTGATCCTTTAGCTTTTCTTTTCCGTCTTGAAGTTACCACTGAAATAGCACTTCTTTACCAGTGCAGGTGAAGAAGCAGCCATGCTGGTGGTACCACTGCTTCCATTGCAGCTCTGGTCTTCTAGAGTCAGCCAGGTCTTATGCAAATTCAGCTTCATGTGCATAACATAGTTCAGATGTCAGTGGCTGTGGCTCAGTGAGCGGATGGCAGGCTCTGAGCAACAAGGAAATGTGGTTTTCTCTGCCAGATCCGTATTAAGTTGTGATTACATAGGTGCAAAAAGCAACTGTACAAAGTTGTGTGAGAGAAAAATACTTGAAAGACTTAAGTACAAAGATCCCATCTATGACTGAGAGGTTTTTCTGAGCCATAATTCTCTGGAGAAAGGGAGGGTGTTTGTGGGTAGCATCCCTGTGTGGTCTGGTTTTATATACTTCCTTGGCATCCTCTGTTGGGGATGGGATGCAGGGCTGAAGGGCCCTGTACCTGACTCAGTACAGGGTTAACTTCTAATCCTGGTTGGTTCTGTGATCTATTTCACTGTGTGGCCAAAGATGATATTGTTGAAGGCAGAAGGTAAAAGCAGCGTAGGGAGGCTCAGTAGAGAAGCTAAAACCACTGCCTTTGGGTGACTTGTGGCTATACCCTTACCAAACCAGGGTTGGGTTTATATATGTGGATTGCAGTGATAAGACTAATTAGGCACTATTAAATGCAGTGGAAACCACAACGGGGATCCCTTAGCCCCTGCTTGGCAGCATATGAAACGCTGAGGCTAGTGTTCAGAGCAGTGGTGCTGGGGAGGGTGAACCACAGCTGGGTTTATCTCCCAGCAGGTCTATGATGGGACAGAGCAATGTTTTAATGGCAGAAAAGGGATGGTATTAACCTATTGCTAATGTAGTAAGGGGCTTCCTCAAGCGTTTGTGTTGCTGCACACAATCTGAATGAAGTAGGTGTGTTTTTATTGTGAATTTGAAGAACTGCTTTGAAAACTGAAATGAAGCAGAGGCCAAATCTTCTGCTGTTAGAGCTGAGGGAAGAACAGGAACCGTTGGAGGCTGAGCAGTCTCTGCCTTTGCTTGGTGCCGCGTAGCAAAGTGAAAAAGTACAAGACTGGCACGAAGTCACCACTACTGAGAACCCCATTTTAATTAGCACTGATGACCAGGTCTTAAATGTTTCATCATGTTGTTGGTCTGACTTGCCATGGGAAAGTGATTTCTTCTATTTCATTGTTTGTTGGGGTTTTTTAATACATCTTCTTTTAAACGTTGCCAACCTGATCTCCATCCATAGCATGTACACCCACAGCCTCTTGGCAGCAATCTTGTTGGGCATTTATTTTGTTTTTAAGGGAGATTCACAGCATTTGTTTATCTCTGGGATGTCTACTGCCTCTGCAGGGTGGCTGGACTGTGCAGCAGCTTGCTGTCTTTGCGGGAAGACATGGCTGTTCAAAATCTTCCAGATTTAAAAACAAACAAATAAAATCAGCTGCTCCATGTTTCAATGTTTTTACTAATTTTAAGAGTTTTGAATAGCTTTGTAGGACTGTGCTTGCAGAGCACCATCAATTCCTGGAACAGGCCAGTGTCAGAAGCTGTTGCAGCTGGCTGTGGTGGACCCCTGGGAAGGGCAACCCCCCTGAGCACCAGCACAAGCTCCTGTCAGACCATAGGGCACAACTAGAAAAAGATTGGTTATAAAATTCTTAAGTTAATCACCAGAGAAATTGGCTTTAAAGTTATATACAACTTCTGGAGAAGAGGAGGCTCATAGGTGGGACTTAATTAGCAGATAAAATTATAAGAGCTCCAAACTTGATTAGTACATAGATGGGGAATTGGGAGCAGAAGACAAAAGACTCTGAAGAGTGCCCCAGAGGAGGTGAGGAATGTATTGAATTAAAGCTGCAAGAAACTACACACACTGAG